AGCGAACAATGCTGACAACCTTAGGCCAACAATGGGGGCGGATGAAGATAGGAGTGGTTTCTAGTGCAGAAGAGATATTACTATTACGAAGGGTTTTGCTTATAAATGAGTATATGCATATATATACACGGTATATGCCATGTGTATATATATATACACATAACCTAGCCTACCATACAGTAGCTATGAGGGCGACACTCGAAGCACGCAAGGCACGTGCGTAGATAGTTCGCTGTGAGTCAAACGAAATGACGTGTAGGTTGGTAGGCCTAAAGAAGCCACCCGTGAAACTCTGCGACATTCACCCTAGATAATACAAATTTTGCACATTCGAGCCTCCCTCTGCCCAACATCAAAGACATTTCATTCACCATCCGGAAATCCAGTTGGTTCGTCGCGGGATAGATGAAATTACGCGGAAGAAATGAAATTTCAAATTGACGTATAATTCCCGCCCTTTTTTTTTTCTTATCGCGTCACCGCCTACAACTAAGTGGATCCTTTATCCTTGGAAGCTGACGAGTGTCTCTTTTTTTTGGAAGAGAAATTCGAAAAGTTGGGTAATTTTGGGGAGAATTTGATTGTCAGTAATTTTGGATGGCAAGAAGGGTTTTTTTGAATTTTCGAAATTTTCCAATTAGCACAAGCCCAACGGTGGCTTCGGATTTTAATTGAATATAAAGTTTGTTATTACATATGTAAAATTTTGGTAGCCAGACTTGACGTAGACTGCAGTTTAACTTGACGTTAATCAAGTTTAAAATTCCCGCCGTACTCTATACGTATAAGTAATCTGTTAAAGCTTCACTAAAATCTCCGTCAAGTTTGGAACTCGTCATAGAATTAGTATTCTACGGCGGAGCGAGTTAGTTACTTGAGAGTTTCTCATGGCAGTCGTACGTATTCCAAGATATCGCGGCGCCGTGTCAGACATTATACAGTAATTTAACTCGATTGAAGAGAAGTACCTTGGTGAGATAAGCTAGAATATTTCGAAAGATGAAAGTAATCGTTACACTACGACCTCCAGATAGAACAACCCACCGAGTTTAACGGGTTTTCCCTTTTTTAATTTTTTAAAATAAATTTTCAAAGTTCACTTTAAAAAAAATTTATTATCATTATAACCTACATACCAATCACTATAACGAATCTACCTACGTAAAATCGGTGTTGGTATACAATTTCTCTTTTTGACATACAGATTCCCCGATTTTCCATTTTATTATTTCCGATATTGACTTTCTGACCACTTTTTTGCTGATCATCCGAAGTACGTCCCGAATAGAGTAGCAAATTTTATGAATGACTTTACGACGTGGCTGAGTATCCTCGTGATAAAAATATCGTTTATACAGGTTCAAAAAGTCGATTATACGATTTAACGAAATTATAAAAATACATTATAAAAATAATTTCTACAGTGACTTTAAATTTTAATAATCATTTATCTACTATGTAAACTCGCACGGCAACAAGACGAACAAGCCCATTCTAATTGAACGCCACACACTAGAATCTACAAGACACGTGTCTTCATTTCGCGATACTCGACACGCTTATTAATGACGCCGAGTTGTTCGCCCGTGTCTGTCTACAGGAACACAGCTTTTACCTCGAGTAAATGAGATCGGCTTGAAAGCCATTGTTCCGCAGAATGCCAACAGTATGATAAGGTTGATATTAAGTAATTACGACGCCTGCGAAATACGTGAAGAATGGAATAGGAAAATGATGCTCAAAGAATTCTTTGTCCCGTGCTGGTTTATCCATCCCATTCGTCTTATTAATATTTTCATTCATTAATTTCAGAGGGGTCACCCTTTATCTTTCAGCATAACGTGTAATCCTGTAGTTGATAATGAAAAAAAATACGATATGTCGATGATAATTTTTTTATATGGAAAAAATTTGAAAATTAAATTTTTTTTTTGTTTCATTCAATATGCACCGATGCAATTTTGTTCAATGCACTTTTATATGCAGATATATTCATATTCCGATTTACAGGCTGCATCCTTAATTTTCTATGAGAATGTATCGTCATTGTCGGAGGGTCAGTCACAACAAGGAAACTATGAAACTGCTCAACCCTTAACGGCAAGTCCATTTAGCTCTACGTGCTTTTGATGCACATATACGTATGTATGGTAATTAAGTACCAAGCTTCATTAAACTGGGTGGAACAGGTGGGTGGGCTAAGTGGGAAAAACATTTACTGCCGTAAGAATTGCGCCGGTGTGAGTTTAAAGAGGATCGTGAATTCACTTGAGCACCCGTTATGTAGTTATGCGGAAAATAAGCACGCGACAACATCGTATACTTAAGTAACCCTTGAGGAAAGAATTAGTATTAAAACAATTTTGTATAAATTTTATCAGCAATTGAAATGACAAAGGGTAAAAGAAATTTTTTAAATAAAATGGGGGGTTTTCTAAAAAAAAAATAAAAATAACGTCTCGGATGATAAGATGACATATTGCGCTTTGTTACGTTGTGTAACGTGACTTTCTTAACTCCACACCGATAGCGGAAAATCCAAAGACTAACCTACGTTACCTTCGGCCGTCCACCCTTCGCTCATGCTTCGCTCGCTTTTTTCACCGGGAATTTACGAGCCGGTATGACGGAACCTATCGGATAATACGATAACTTAACGAATCCTGTCGATTTTTAGGGACGCGTAAAATCGAGAAAGGCAACTGGATGCACGAACGGGAACGGACGGTTACGGAAATGCGCGGACGCTCATGCTGCTAGGTTGAGCTAGAGAGGGCCGGAGTAAACGTCAGGTAAATAGTGCGAGATACAGAGACTAACGGATCGAGAACGTAGCAGAACGAATCGGAGCTGTAAAATCGAAATCCCTTCACCAATTAATAAATTGGGAGCACTCACCGGAGCTGGTGCAGTTGATCCGTGAAGGCCATGGACTATATCCAAAGGACGCTTGGATGGGCACTGCACCAGGGCACAACACTACACCTCCGGAACACTCACAGAAAATTTAAAGAATTTTCTGGATATCGCGAGAGCGACGCGAGAACTACACGAGTGAGAACTTTCTATACCGTATCTAAACACGGCTAGAAAAAGTATAAACAAACAGCCCGGGAGCGCGAGGCAGTTCGTGACACCTCGGTCGGTGCCCCGAGACAGACTGCTTTGACAAAGTAGCCAAATTCGAGAACTAATAATTCTGATCATCTGATTGGTCGAGACCCTCATAGCCGATAACTCTTCCCTTTCCCTCGAGTCGTCCCTTTAAACCAAATCGAGAGCGTTCCTTAGCGATTCAACTAAACGCGACCTCAACTAAACAATAACGAAATCTTCCGAGAGCACTGGCATAACTATACGAATCAACCCGAGAGCGCAGCTTCCGAGCAGGATGGCGACCCGAAGGGAATCAGAGATCGGGAACGTTATTTGTATCGGTAGTCGGAGTCGCCTTGTGACCGTGAATCGAAAAATCACACGTCACAGTTGTTATACCAATTTATCAGTGAAACAACTCCCTTGTATAAGAATCTTTATAACAGAAAAATATTTCATTTGTCATGTATAGTGTTTCCGGAATATTCATAAATTTTCCTAAGGGTGCTCTCACAAAACTAAAATGCAACACTCCTACGTGATTCAGTGTCGCGATCCTTTATCAGTGTGATATATGTGTACACCCTGTATATGACACGAGAAAGAGCATCCACGTCTCAAGACACTTTGCGCTACGGTAAACGACGTGTTCTCGAGGAAATGAAAGATTTTTCTTAAGAAAAAAAAATGTAAAATAAAAAAGGAGTAGAAAAAGTCCTAAAAAAAATAATGCACGTTTCACAATGTACATTTGGACCTACCCGACACCCTGTAGAAACATCTGTCCCTACTTCATGCACGTACGCGACCGTAGATTAGACACGTCGTAAATTAAAAGCGTGGCGGAAAATTTACCCTAAAAAATAGGAAAAAAAGCGTTCGGGCGTTTAATTCGCCAAATTCACCATCTCTAGGCAGAGTGTTGGAAAATTACTATGCAAAAGAGTGTAATTGAAGGTACATATACATATTTTTTTCGAAAACAAAAAAATTACATCCCAAAACATCCCTTGTAATTTATACGTAAAATCTAACCTCCAAAGGATTTCGTGGGATTACGTGCATTTGAATTTATATTTTATGCAAGGACTTTCCTTGTCGGCCATTATATTTGCATACGTGTCCGCGTCCCCCTAGTAAAAGGATTCATCACTGGGGATGATCATAGGATTGGTCCAGATTCCGCGAGTGGATTAAACCCTCTACTGATTTATGCTTTCGCGTTAATCGGTCCAGCTCAACACCACCGCGGTGGGATGCTGCGCGCATGCAATTTCGAATGCACAGAGAAACTTGCTGAATCCCTTAAGTAGTCACTGTATTATATTAGTCAGACAACAAGATTACGAATCTTAGAATAGCACGTTAATATCATTGTCTCGGATTCTGTGCATACGTGACCCACGTAAAACAATCGTTAGGCATTCCCGTTGGCGATGCTGCTGCAAATGTTTATGGTAATGACTGCATTGTGCATAACTCGCGGAATCCATATCCATTTGCCAAAGCAAAACGGCCTCCGTTGTTCCCAACTACACATCCTCTGGCACACAACGCATACTTGCACCAAGTGCATACTATATGCACTTTAAGTGCATTCGTACCATCATCATTTGATCCCAAGCGATCGTTTTCAAAATTCATATAAATTATACGTAAGCGAACGATCTCAAAACGTGGTTATCTCCAGTGAATATTTTAGCGAGTTTTATCGATAGATTTGGGGGGAGGGGGGTAAGGCACGAAAATTAAAAAAAAAGTATTTTTATACAAACAAAAAAAAACAGCTGATTTCTATAAAATTTGTCAGGTAGTATACAGTGTGATATATTACAGATATATGACAAATAATAATTTTGACTTTTTTTTTTTGAGGGGAAAAATTTTTTTCAAAGTATGCGTACCTCTCGCACTGTCGCAGCGTCCACGAGGCGATGATCCAAAGTGACACCATGAAGACCAGGAGGACGGTACCAGGACATATGGTCATCAGGGTCTTCAGGACGAACCTGGTGTTGAAATTGATCCGATTGAGGGCACCTATGCTCCGGGAGGATGCGTCGGTGAAGAGCTTCGAGTGCAGCAGCATCACACGGCAGATCAGATAGAGTCTGAGAAACATCGGAAGGGATAACGTGACGTCATAGGGTACCCATTTGGTACCGATGTCGCCACCCTTGTTGGACAGCTTCGTCGTCCACAGGAAGTAATACTCTCCGGGGATTGGATGGATCGCGCAGATTATCAGCTCGATCGAGATCTGGGATATTCGTTGCCAGGTCATTGCGATCCGCCAGTCATCCGCGCAGTTATCGATCATGAATAACTGTGGGAAAAAGAATGGAGGCCGCCATTATTATTTTTGTATTATCAATCATTCGTTTTCTGACGTCACTATAGCACAGCTTCGACAAGATCTGGCATTTTGCCCGATTTACGTTACTTTTTTTTTTACAGTCTGCTACTTTAACTACTATAGCCTAACCTGACCACGTGGGGTTTGATATTTCTCCTTAATTATTTATTCAATTTTTTTTTGTTATACAATTGTTGATTCAATTTGGATATTAATAAAAATGACAAAAATTCAGAAAAAAAATTATAACGATTTTTGTGGTATAAAAAATTTTTTATATAATTCATTGTACGTCAGTATTGTTCATTGTTCGATCACGGTGCGATTGATCGATAACGTTCGATACAGAAGCAATAAACGCCATGTACGAAACGATCGAGCATTTATATACACATTATGGTTGCTTATCATTGTGTTCCAAGTTTTATTTACGCCTTTATTGGATAACCTACCATTTCGTAGATATACCTACTTCGAACGCCGCCATCGAAAGGAGGTTTACGATCGGTTCGGATGTTCTGTTTTCATCCGAGCAAATACCAGCGCTCGCCCGCGTATTGCAGGTTATCACTAATCAATATCGAGAAACTCGGTGAATTCTGTGATATCGGAAAAGTCATTGTTCGTCGGAAATAATAAAGTCTCCTTCGGCCATTCCTATATGCAGCAGGACTCGTTATCATTCCGCCATTAACGTTGTGCGATGAACGATGGACGAGTTCGTTTTTTTTGACCATTTTTTTTCTGCATCTTCATTTTTTTCTGGCTACCGACAGTCAGCTGTTGATTTATTGCAAAATCATATTGGCGATTGTCGATTCGACGTGTCCCACAAGACTGATTAGAGTATCTATAATATTTTGTAAAAAAATAAGATTTTTTTCTAAAAAAATTCCAATATAATTTTTTGAGTAATATGGAATGCCCGAAAGTGTACGTATGTTCAGGAGCAAAAAAAAATCGTCAGGTCCAAAAAACGTGCTCGGAATAGCAAAAATACTCGTTATTTTTGATAAAGTGTTAAGTTTCGCAAAATGTAGCGACGGAAGTGTCAGGCGTTAAGTAATAAAAAAAAAAGGGGGAGCAAATCCCTTATCGACGTTAACTTAATAAATAATATCAAACGGTTTACCCAGTCCGACGAATTGAATTTTAGTAGATAAAAAATAAAAAATATTTACAGACAGATTACGCGAATACATATATTTTCACGAGGGAATGAAAATATATATATTTTTTTTTTAAGTAATAATAATAATCGATTCCACGTGGATTGAAAGCAAAAGAAAAGCAATAAAGTTCGGTCCATTTCCTTGATTAAATTTCATCAAGATACTTTATCAATACGATAATATCAATGTGTAGCTCCGCACGAAATTACGGACCCGTCACTTCCGTTATTCGAAATCGCGATCAGGTCCCCCTTTAATCCGTATCGCATTACGTGGCCAATTAGGTCAAACCACTTAATTAGCAGACCCCGTCACTAGGGCAAAAAGGAAGTGACACAGTGACGCCGTCTTGAAGAATTTTAACCAGCAACCAGCTTATCGTTACTACACAGTTACATAGGCAGCCATTTACAAGCTAAGGAATCTGAGAATCAATACAGTCGCGACAGACAATGAACGTCCGCTATATATATATATATATATATATCTATATACACCCCATAAGATACAAACAGTTAAATCAATTTTTCAAAATGGCAGCCTAAAAAGATAATATTCATTTTGAAAATTATTTTTGCACCATAATCGATAATTCTTGTATATTTTGCGCAACAAAATTATTGTACGCTGTCTATATACACCCCATAAGATACAAACCAAGCTAAGGAATCTGAGAATCAATACAGTCGCGACAGACAATGAACGTCCGCTATATATATATATATATATATATATCTATATACACCCCATAAGATACAAACAGTTAAATCAATTTTTCAAAATGGCAGCCTAAAAAGATAATATTCATTTTGAAAATTATTTTTGCACCATAATCGATAATTCTTGTATATTTTGCGCAACAAAATTATTGTACGCTGTTGAGTTTCGTTTGATTAGGTTTCTGATGTTTCCGCCTTCTCGAGACACCAAGCACACTCGAAGGTAACAAGTACCTTTGAGAGCTATAGATAGAGTCCCAAGAAGGTTGATAAGTAGGTATATGGCACTTGAGAATCTGGAAGGTTCAATGGTATATTCTTATAGTATTGACGATAAAAATATAGGGTAGGTTCGCGTTTACTTGGATTATGTAAAATTTATGCTTTATTCACATTTCCTTTAAGAATTACGAGCACGTCACTTAAATACGCTGGCGTGGAAAGGCTTTAGGAGACCTTGTGAAATATAGACGTGACGTATCAGATATTTATGACGTAATTGTTTTCTTTGTCTGTTATCATCGAGTCGTGAGGATTCGCCATAATCTTTACGATAAGTTATGTGTATTTCATAGCGAGCGATGCAGGCAGGGGACGAGTGTTTAGAAATTTGATAGTCGCGGACGTCTTTAGTTTTTAATTGAATATTTTGAATTTTCCCGCCGTTCTACACTGAAAATATTTATAACCGATGAAACTGGAACATTACCGTAATCGTTCTTTCCTCTCGTCTACGATTCTTATTCCGGCAGGATGCTTTCATCTTAATCGCGCCAATTTCCGCACTCGCGGAGTGCAGTTGCAAGCTGCAACTGCATTTCCGCCGACAATTCCGTTATCATCAACGCGAATGACCCAAGGTCAAGTATATACGTACAAAGTCCATATTGTTGGATATTGGAAAAAAAAAATTGTCTCATTGAAATTTTTCGAAATATTCATTTTAGGTGATGCACTATCATTATTTGTCAAAGCAATACACGATACTTTTGCATACGTACATAAATTAATTTTGCACAGAGTTTCATGCGGAAATTTTTTTTTTACCGTAAAAAATAATGTACGCACAAAAAGCTTTCGACTTTAGTGCTACTTGTATTTTTCTTTGACGTTTAACTCAAACTCCATCCAACGTACTTTTCCGATCGATCTGTGCATGCACTGCTGCACTTTAGAGAATGGATCGCATGTGCAACGTTATCTGGTGTATGCATGTGCACTCGAAGAAATCGTTTGCTTTTTGGCTACTGGAACGATCGCTCGATAGTATCGACGTTCGTTCGAGTCGCCGCGTCAGTTTTCTTGACTTTTGCCGATAGTGAATTCCCAAGAGAGGAAAGTGCAGGGTTTACCATAAAAATGCAACTGAATTTTACTATTTAACTTTTACCATTACCGGAGTCCATACTGGAGAACCCACTAAAGAATATCGATTGCGGTGCAAAAAAAAATGGTTTTTTCTTTTTTTGACAAAATTAAATACAAATCAATTGTTAGTGAAAACATGTAAAAAATTTATTAAATTTTCACTGTTTTTATAATTGTATTTCTCATTCGAGTCCTCGTACATCTCTTTTCTTTCCTGCACCACAGAAACGTAAATAACTCATAACTCTCAGACTGGAAACTCAACGAAGAATTCTTCCGGTACGATTAGTACCAACCCACCCGGAAATTTCAAATATTGTTTTCAGTTCGGTTAAAGCGTCTTTCGTGCCATTTAATTTTAATACTGATTACATTAACAACCCCCTAACTATGTACCAAAATTACGGGACCAGGAAATTATCAAAATTTTACTGTTGACGTGAAAAAAATATTTTTCAAATTTCGCCAAAAAAGATACCTAACAAGATTCGTGCATTGCGAATCGCGCGGGCAAGTGAAATTTGCAAATATTCTTTGACACCTTCGTCTTCGAATCTTCCCGACGTCTTTGTCTCGATTTCTTTAAGTCAAAGAAAGAACAAGGATTCTTGTCAGTCTCCAGGCATTCGGCTTCAGCTCAGAGTCTCTTTTTCTGTTCTCTGTCTGCTCACTTTTAAAATCGATTTTCCCTTTATCTCTTACTCCACTTTTCGTCTTTTACTTTTTCGTAGCAACTTCATTTTTCACTCCCTCTGCCTTACCCTTCCTTACCCCCTTCCAGCGTTATTCCCTTTTTACCAAATTATTGTTTCATTTTCAATTTTACATTATTAACGATCAATCAGTCTTCCTGAGGACCCTGTGACCTGTTTGCAAAACAGTTATTGGCAACAATGCGAAAATTTCATATCGCACTTTGCTAACTGCAAGCACGCTTTTACGATACGTGTGCACTAGTTTGTCACAGTTTACTTTAGCTACGTGCTACCAACCCTACGACCCTTCGCTTTCTGTTTCCGACATGTTTCCATGATAGTTACACGTATGCGGAGTAGGTTGGCAATACTGTCGCTATGTGCATAGCGTTGGAGGTAACCTTGCATCATATCAGTAAGTGGAAACGTATAGTGCAGCTTTATTAAAGTGACTTCATCCTACTGTAATTTACTATGTACACTGACGCTGGGTAACGTTTACATCAACGTTTGAAATTTCCCGCCGTTTAATTTAGTCCTGTAATAATTGGCCTCTATTGTTTAACACTGATAATACATGCAATCAAAGTGCAATACGTACCTGAACTTCTAAAGCATGATAAGCAAATATGAGGCCAAGAAGTATCACAGTAGATACAGATATCAGGGTTTTCAGTGCAGTCGAGTAAAACGAGGCCTGAAACAAAAATACATTTTTTTTTTGAAAATTATGCGAAAAGTCGATTTTTAATAATTCGCTTACTGGTGCATTGAGAAATTTCCAGCGAGTTATCGATTTATTGATTCCGATCAATTAAACAGACTACGACTATTGGTTAACGAGACTCTCGGGTCGTATGGATTTGTAATTCCGGAAGTTACACGATACGTGAACCGGAAATCGTCTGATCGTACTTTCGTGTACACGACGAATGTCCGTGAACTGCGAATTCGCCCTGTGTAATTCTACTACGGAAAATCTCTGTCAACTCTATGACACTCCTAGCCATTAGTCTAACTACGTATGTAGACGAGCGGCAGGTCCGTATGCGAAATACTGGGCGCCCTGGGCTGTAATAAAATCGTTGAAAAAAAAAGGTGTATTTTCGTACCAGGTACTGATAAAAGGCACAGGAAATAGCTCCGTTGGTGAGGTAAACCGTAGTAGCTTCACGCGAAGGATGTGCCTGTGTGAAAAATGTAACGGGTGTCTGAGAAACGTTTGATGTTCAAAAAGAGAAAAAAAAACATGGTAATCAAACATCGCTAAGCGAGTTTCGTGGAGTCGATGGAATTCAAGACGAGGAAAAGTACGTGGCTCGGATAAAAAATAATGAAAGAAAAAACTGAAGAGGATCGATTTCCTGATCTAAAGAGTCACACGTGCGTCTCGTCGGACGAGTCCGAGCTTAGATAATGATAATGACAAACTGCCTCGAGCGAGACGGCATTTTTCATTTTTCATCCTCGCGAATAAGAGCTCGTTTATTTTGTCATTGATGGATAATCGCGTACTTGTCGTTCTTACAGATCGTCACCTAAGGTGCTATACATAGGAGCAATATGCTTTTCACCAAACGATTACAACAATGACGATACGAATATATAACGAGTTGCCGACTAAAAATCATTTATAATATTTTTCATTAATAAAAAAATTTCCCAATTACAAATTTGATCATCAATCGAATACACGATGAAAAGTGAATTGGTACTTTGGAGCATGGAAACAAAGTTTCTATAAAAGTTCAACTTGTATTGGACTTAATGTAAAGTTTAATGCATACATTTTTCAATAGTTTCAATTACCATCATTGTACCGGCTTTTGCACATATAAAAAAAATTCAAAATTTCTGTACACAAAGAAAAGGGAAAAGCTACATAAATAATAATTTATCCATACCGCATTGCGATTTATGCCAAAAAACTGCAGGATTTGTAAAATTTCTAATTCTCGCTTTTTTCACAAAAAATCCCGTATCTCACGTTACTCGTAGACACTTTACGATCGGATTAAGGTTTATTCCCAGCTGAGATTTTGATTTAACGTTTTGTCCCAAAATGGGCCCTCGCAAACTTTATTACACGTGATACGACATTTAACGTCGACAAAGCCGAAGCGCCTGTGTACTACATACATATGTACATACATAGGTTCACCTTCCACACATGTCATGTATATATATATATATATTCCTAAGTTGATAAAAAAAGAACAAAGAACATGTCCATCAAAGTTCCCCATTCACTAACCTACCTACGTACGTATAACTATAGGCTAGACACGTCGCTCGTACGCACTGGCCGAAATTCCGCTAGAATTTTCCAAGCGAAAACTCATTAAGGGGATCGAGTCTACAGGGTTTACAGGGTTTACAGGATTTACCTAAAAGCCAACCCTAAGAGTGGACAGAGCCACGTGCGCAAGAGTAACCAGCAGAGCAAATATTAAAATAATCCTTGTATCCCACTGTACGAGTGTTCATAAAGTAAACAAAATGTAGAGCAACGTTCCGAGCGTTGAACCAAAAAAAAAAAAAAAAAAAAAAAAAAAGTGTCTGCAATTTCTGACTAA